CATGCTGTATCCGGAGGAGACGGAGCTGAGGATGCGTCATGAGAATATACGTGAGTTCATGCGATGGGAGGAGGTCAATCAGACCATCATCATTGTTTTCTTGAGGTATGTCAAGCACTACGTACGAATAAATTACTATTGTAAATTATAATTATTTATTATATTTCTAATTATTATTTACGTGTTAAATTACTAGATTGTTACACGATCATGTGATGGAGCATGGTATCACGACTATCGGGTTTTTTTGTCCGGAGAACATGGCGTACGTGGTAGATTTTGGAGATCGCCAGTATCTAGATAGAGCATTCGAGTCCTATCAATCGCGACCATGGATACTTATGCCGTTGTATCTATCAAAATCGTATGTTTTCTAAACCATTTCCAATATGTATTTCGGTTTTTTATATTGATAAGTAAGTTAATGACTAACGCTTTTTCAATTGTAGGCATCACTGGGTGTTAGTTGTAATACGTTTGTTTGAAAACAAAGTGTATTTCCTGAACTCAACCAAGGCGACCGGAGGGCATAAGCAAATGAAAGTGAAGACTTTCGTCAACGAGTAAGTATTAAGAATTTAATTTCTTATTAATGAAATTATTTATTTGTTAAGAAATTTATTTCTTATTTATTTTTTTTTACATGTATTAAAGGTGTTGGCGGTTACTTCGGGAACGCCACATGCCTCAGCTTAAGACTCGACCGGATTGGATTAATGTTCCCGGAGTACCCCAACAATCAGGGGGCGTTGAGTGTGGTTATTATACCATGCGATTTTTATGGCTCATTGTCACTATGTGTGCACAATGTTCTTTACCATTATACGATGTAAGTTTATTTTAGTGTGTTGCGTTTTTGAAAGTAATGAAGTGTTTATCATCATTTTCTTTTTCATAGATTATTAAACTTTATGTTGTATGTTGTTTTCGTATTGCAGGTGTTTCAGTCTACTTCGCCCTATACCAAAGCCGAATTAGAAGAGGTTAGAGAGTTTTGGGCGGGGGGTTTTCTCGATTAACTAGTGTAAGTTTTGTATTGTATAGTATTAGTTGTATGTTAGAAGAGTGTAGTTGTTTGACTCTTAGTTGTGGTGTTAAAAATTAGTTTGTAAATATTGATATTTTTAAAAATGTACAAGTTATGGATGCAAGTGTTTAGTTTTTTGGTTTATTTGTTTGTGGCATTCGGGTTTTGTGAATATATTTGTGTTCGTTGTTGTTGAATCTGTAATTTTGCGCAAAATTCTGTGCATAATTGAAAATGTAGTGGATTGTGAGCAAACAAAAAAAAACCTGTTGAAAAAATTTATCATTTAAATCGGTTATTTGGTAATAATCGATGCAAAAAGCCCCTTTCCCATTTCTGGGAAAAGGGATTTGCATCGGTTATTATAATAACCGATGCAAAAGCCTATTTCCGAAAATGGGAAAGGGGCTTTTGCATCGGTTATTACCAAATAACTGATGCAAATGGCGCCATTCTGGGAAGAGTTTTTTGCATCGGTTTAACAACCAATGCAAAAAGTAATCTGAGCATTTGCATCGCTGGCTTTTACATCGGTTCAGAACTCATTTAAAAGGGTAAAAATAACCGATTTAAAAGGTCATTTTTGTAGTATTGCTAAAAAAGGTCATATCTCATTTTTGCATATCTCGTAAAATATTTCTATTCCATTTAAAATACATTGTTCGGCCTATATTGGATGTCACACTCCGAAGAACGTGTAAAATCCATCATTTTTTTGAAATAAAATCTCATCATTTTTAAAATCATTTTAATAAAAAATTGATATAGAAATAAAAAATATATATTACACCCTTTAAAAGTACATAAAAAATTCTATAAAATAAGAGGTGACAATAATGTTTCATTTTATCAAATTATCAATGAAAATCTAAAAACAAATAAAAGTTATCGAAAAGCCATAATAGTGACTGCTATGATATTCATTTCGTCTAAAATACCTCCAAAACAACTTCTACCTGTAATAACGAAAAAATAAAGTGAATCTTAGACATTATAGACATGGATAGAAGTATATTTAGGATTGCACAAAAAATGAAATAGAAACTTCTTTTGGGGATAGAAGGATTATTTTATTTAATTAATAGTCATATTTTTCAATTTGTCTTGTAAAAATCCAAAATAAGACAAATAGGTTGGGCGAAGGTAGTAATTCCATATTTTTCTTTTGTTTGTCTTAAAAATACTCCTCTGTCCAAGTTGATTCTTCCCATTAAGTGTTATGAGGCTTAACCAATTTTATTTCTAATTTAATTTATTTGATTGTAAGAGTACATCATGCTAGAAAATTAACGCACAACACACACAAATAGTCTGTATAAATATAGAGAAACAGAATACAAATAACACAAAAGAATTTCACGTGGTTAGGTTTTCCTAATCCACGACTGCAATTGAAGGAATTTTATTCACTTGTGGTCCGATCCACTGAAGAGATTACAAGTAAATGTCTATTTATAAGGAAATAACAAGGGTTGTTATTTTGTTGCCTAATAAAACATAGATGGGCCTAAATTAATTAAATCTTGGCCGACTACACCTTTAATTAGATCTGCCACAATTTAGTCTTCTAATAAAGAATTAGGCCTGGTCTAAATTGAGCAATCTCTCTTACTTGGAGGCTTAATAATTTTCAAACTACCATCCATATTGAACACTTGTATGTCTAGCAATCTTCCTCTCCTCTCTTGCTACAACCGCATTCTCATCGGTGAACTAAAAAGCCCGTTGAAGTTTCCTAATCCTCGAGCTCTAACACGTCAGTCACGACTAAATTTCCCCCCGGCTCTTCCTCAATCTCTATTGTTAGCCTTGGTTTGCTAAACCTCGTGTTTTGATATTAACAACCAATATAAAAGCTAATGTTTGTTTAAGTGTTTCAGGTACAACAAGAATCCATTAACATTTGGTTCTCAAGAATGAGATTGAAACACTAAACTAGCGTAGAATATAGGTAGAAACCATTGTAAGGATATGATTTTATATACCTATACTCACAAGCTCAAAAGCACTCACAAAATATGTTTAAAACCTTCTTATAACCATTTTCAAACATCCAAAAGATTTTAAACAAAATTAGAAACAATTTGGATAAAAATGAGAAAAATCATCAAAACGGTCACAAGGTACCCTATACCGTAAGGGGTACCGTGAGTCAATCTGAGAAGGTACCCCCTACCGTCACCCACATGTAGCTACCGACCGTAATAATGAAAATCAGCTCGGTTTGCACTATGGCAGTACCCCTTACCGTTACAGGTACCGGATCCGTTAGGTTACTATTCCTATTTGCTAAATTTGAATTTAAACAATCCTTAATCTCCTGATTTTTATACACACATTTTTGAGCTTGTGTTCTAGATATATACTCTCATTTTGTTCTACACCGGCTAAATTTTGTTCTTCATTTTTATTTTCAAGCTGTTGTGTAGAACCTTTGATTGTGTTCATCAGCACGCATTTATACGATCGAGAATAGCCGTTAAATTCTCACATTGTAATGGTTAAGGATAGCCATATAAATCCTTGGGTAAAGGTTCTAGGATAGCCTTGTAAATCCTTGGGGGGAACGGTCGAAGATAGTCGTGAAATCTTCATTGTAAACGATTCGAGATAACCATTGTAAAATCTCGGAGTGAGTCCTGTTGGCAAGAGTTGTTTGCCAAAACTAGTGTCATGCTTTGACGGGGTTCAAGAGACCGGGACTTAGTGGATTTAGAAATCCTTAAGGAGGAGTCTTAAGGTACTAGAGTAGGGGTTTCCCAAACAAGTATAAAATTGGTGTGTCTTTTACTTTACACTTTTATTTCTGCGTTTTATTTATTGCTTCTGCATTTGTCAACAATGTTTTTATCAAACTTCAAAAAGTTTTTAAACACCTTATTCACCCCCCTCTAAGGTATCGGCACAACGACTAACATCTACCAGCTCCCACCGCAAACATGCACTGCCAGATCGTGAAACACCTTGAGAACAAATAATATCTTACTGAGCAAGAAAGCTTCTATAGATGTTTCATCAAGTGGAATACCTGGTGATGGTGTAAAACCAACGTGAGAATTATGTAACTAAAAGCGGAAGGTTTGTAGGTGGGAATACCTGTAACCTGGTTTGTTATTAATAATATGGGGATCGATTACAACTTACAAGCCGTGTATATTATTTATTGCTTGTCTTCTTTATGAGGCTTTCACTCCTATTTATAATAATAGAAAATATACAGTTTATGACTACTATTCATCTCAATGTATCCACCTGGCCAGTCTTCAAGCCTTTTATGGATCCAGTGACAACCATACCGGTCAGGCCCCCCCACATCCACCCAGTGGTCAGATTACTAGGGATGGTGAGATCAAGCTGGGTCAGACTTTTGTACCTCCCGAGCGCCTGCGAACCTGCTGGGTGGTACCAGTGGGTTATACCCATCAAGAAATCCTCTGATTCCCGGTTTTGTGGGCACCATCAAGGGTGGGAGTCAAATGTCTAAATAAATGTGAAGATATTACAAACATTTTTTAACCAATGTTTTTTTATCTTTGTATTCTTGATGAAAAAACTAGTTAATTTTTTTAACAACAATCTTCATGATTAAGATAACACACATGAGTTTTGTTTTGTATTGTCTTTTTTTGCACATATCTTAATTAACAACCAATCTACTAACTATGAAAACAACTATTTTTACATAAGTACATAATAAGGATTCAGAGTTACCTCTTGGAGCAGTGACGTTGCGAAGCTGTGGATGCCCTTTTTTTCTTTTCTTTTTTTGAAAGTAAACATTTTTCTTAAAAAATAAATATACTTTTTTTCCAAGAATCGTCTTTAAAACCACACGTTCCGATACCAAAATGTAACACCGCAATTCGCGTAACCCAAACTAACGAGTTTACGAATCAGGTTGCTAACAATTTGGTATTCACGTACACCAAATTTTCAAAATACTTAAAAATAAAACATACATTCATATTCATTTAAAAACAATCATAGTTTAATCGGAGTAAACAAAATCAAACGGACACCTTTAAAACAACATACAATCATTCGTATATTTTAAATAAACAAGTTCAATGAAACATTTAAGTTAAAACAAATAGCTTCGGGCCATCCACCAGTGCCACATCTCACTGTCCTCCAGGTTGTTCCTCGTCCAATCCTTGACCCCTACCTGTAAAAAACAATAGAGAGAGTGAAAGTATCTAACACTAGAACTAGCTCATAGACTAGCACCCATTAACATATAATCATACAATATCAGAAGAATCAATAATTACAATTATCAAATAGTATAATTTGTCGTTTGTTCGTTCGTTCATACGTCTTTTCATTTCAGATCCTTGTGTATTGTCACCATAATTAACATATTCGACTAAAGTCTAACTAAACACAATAGTCATGGACACTCTTGGAAAGGTGTTCAAGAGGCCAAACTTGTAAACCCAATGGAAGGTGTCCACGTGGGAGGGTTGGAGCCCCTACCACGGAGGTGCTAAGGTAGGTCACGAACTCCTGTACGTACGCTTCAACCCTGGAGACCATCAGATGTACGCCAACACCTGCATGACCTTAAGTTTCAAACCTTCAGTCCTATAAACAATTCCGATATTCAGTCTATTTCATAATTTCCTTTCATATAGAATTATTGCCAATCCTAAACAATTCCATTAATATGTTTGATGTTGTGTTTAATTTCCTTTTTGAACTGGTTTGCTGTTCAATTTTATTTATGATTCAGATAATCAGATTTGGATATTGGATATTTGGATTTTGAATTGTGTAAACGGATAATCGAATTATCGGATTTCAATAAATTCAGATACTTAAACATATATTCGGTCGGATACGGATATATCTAAATCCAAAAAAACCCGACAGTTTCGGATTCGGATTTTAAAGTTAGAACATCCGTCGGATTCGGATGTCATTTCGGCTAAACGGGTGCGAATACAAATACTGATGTTGTATATCCGAGACGGATTTTTTGTAGACAAATGGCAGACCAAACTCAACAAAGCGTCGGTGCTTCTTCACAATCAACTGCAAACACTAATGCTATTACTTCCGAAGCAGTTATTTCAGATCAAGGTGTAGAAATCAATGCTAAAACAAGAAAGTTGACTTCTCGGGTTTGGGATTACTATGATAGGGAGTGTCTTGGAGGTGGTAAAGTTATTGCAACTTGCTTGGGATGTAAACGAAAATTCGATGGATCAAGTAAGGCTGGTACTACTCACTTGAAAAATCATAATGATGTTTGCTCTCTTTCTAAGAAATCGATTGATATTAAACAAGCTTATACTTGAAAATCTATAGATAATGTCAATCCATCTAATATGATTAAAACACACAAGTTTGATCCATCGGTTGAAAGAGCTTTGTTGGCTAAAATGATAGCGAAACATGATTTTCCTTTTCTTATGCCCCAGTATGAATACTTTAGACATTGGATTTCATATTGCATGCCATCTTACAAATTTTGCTCAAGGAACACAGTGAAAAATGATTTGATGGAAGTTTACAATGAAAGAAAAGGGATTTTGGTAAATGTTCTTGGAAAGTTAAATTCATGAATTACTCTTACAACTGATGGCTGGACTTTAGATCTTCAAAACTGTGGATACTTTTGTGTGACTTGCCATTACATTGATTGTGATTGGATATTGCAAATTAAATTACTAGCTTTTCATGTTGTTGCATATCCACATAATGGGTTGCGTTTGTGTGATTGGTTGAAAAATCATATTCTTGAGTGGAATATTGATGAGAAGTTATTTTCTGTTATCATGAATAATGCCTTACAAATTTTTGTCATGTTGGATGGCATTAGGGATTGGTTGAATAGGAAGGGTGCACTTGTTCATCATGGTGAGATGTTTCATATTCGATGTTTTGCTCACATCATAAATTTAATTGTGAAAAAAAGGAATGGATGTGATTCAAGGATTTATTGGAAAAATTCATGATAGTGTAAAATATGTGAATGGGTCAGTACAAAGAAAAGAAAAATTCCATATTGCCTTGGTTCAAACTCGACTAAATCCAAAGAGACAAGTAAGTTTAGAGTGCAATACTAGGTGGAATTCAACATATGATATGGTTATGAATGCCTTTGACCTCAAAGAAGCATTTAACTGTTTGGTTGAATTAGATAGTAATTACATTTACTTGCCATCCAAAGAAGAGTGGGAAATTGATGCTAAGATTTGTAAGCATTTGAAATTTTTTAAAAATGCAATTGAAGCACTTTCAAAAAGTAAGTATCCAACAGATGTAACTGTAAGTAGACTGCCTTCTATGCATTGAATTGCTAATATATCACCAACCATCTTTGAAAGAATCGGGTACCTACCACCATTATGCTTCCACCAATTCAAAACATCAAATGCATTGTCTTGTTCACACACCAATCCCTACTCAAGATACAAATCAATCTCACTTTTTTTAGTAATGAAAGTAACACTAAACTAAGCAACAACTTCCTTGAACCTAGCTAAAAGAGGGCACTCAATCTCATCATTTAACAAGCTCTCAATGCGACGAGAAGAATCAGACATAGCAATACCCACATCAACAGATGTAACTTAATCATCATACTCCACAAACAAATTATTTCAAAAAGTTTGCACTCTACTTACAAAACTATTTGGATTACCATCATCATTACTCCAAAAAGCAGCTTTAACAAGTGTCAATTTATACCTAGGATCAAGAATTGAAGCAATTGTCAAAACTATACTACACTCATCCCAATATTTATCAAACTTTGCTTGCATAAAAAGTGCCATTGTTAAAATATCAGAATCAATACTCTTACACCACTCTTTCAAGCATTCCCTTATTTGACAATCAAAAGTGAAGCAAAGAGGGGCTGTTGGATACTTACTTCCTGAAAGTGCTTCAATTGTATTTTTAAAAATTTTCAAATGCTTACAAATCTTAGCACCAATTTCCCACTCTTCTTTGGATGGCAAGTAAATGTAATTACTATCTAATTCAGCCAAGCAGTTAAATGCTTCTTTGAGGTCAAAGGCATTCATAACCATATCATATGTTGAATTCCACCTAGTATCGCACTCTAAACTTACTTGTCTCTTTGGATTTAGTCAAGTCTGAACCAAGGCAAGATGAAATTTTTCTTCTCTTTGTACTGACCCATTCACATGTTTTACACTATCACGAATTTTTCCAATTAATCCTTGAATCACATCCATTCCTTTTTTTTCACAATTAAATTCATGATGTGAGCAAAACATCGAATATGAAATATCTCACCATGACGACCAAGTGCACTCTTCCTATTCAACCAATTCCTAATGCCATCCAACATGACAAAAATTTGTAAGGCATTATCCACGACAACAGAAAATAACTTCTCATCAATATTCCACTCAAGAATATGATTTTTCAACCAATCACACAAACGCAACCCATTATGTGGATATGCAACAACATGAAAAGCTAGTAATTTACTTTGCAATATCCAATCACAATCAATGTAATGGCAAGTCACAAAAAAGTATCCACAGTTTTGATGATCTAAAGTCCAACCATCAGTTGTAAGAGTAATTCATGAATTTAACTTTCCAAAAACATTTACCAAAAATCCTTTTTCTTCATTGTAAGCTTCCATCAAATCATTTTTCACTGTGTTCTTTGAGCGAAATTTGTAAGATGGCATGCAATATGAAATCCAATGTCTAAAGTATTCATACTGGGACATAAGAAAATGAAAATCATGTTTCGCTATCATTTTAGCAAACAAAGCTCTTTCAACCGATGGATCAAACTTGTGTGGTTTAATCTTATTAGATGGATTGACATTATCTATAGATTTTTCCATATAAGCTTGTCTAATATCAACCGATTTCCTAAAAAGAGGCAAACATCATTATGATTTTTCAAGTGAGTAGTACCAACCTTAATTGATCCATCGAATTTTTGTTTACATCCCAAGCAAGTTGCAATAACTTTACCACCTCCAAGACACTCCCTATCATAGTAATCCCAAACCCGAGAAGTAAACTTTCTTTTTTTAGCATTGAGTTCTGCACCTTGATCTGAAATAACTGCTTCGGAAGTAATAGCATTAGTGTTTGCAGTTGATTGTGAAGAAGCACCGACACTTTGTTGAGTTTGGTCTGCCATTTGTCTACAAAAAGTATCAAACACATAAAAAACAATGACAGAAAATCAGCAATCAAAGCAATTTTTTTGTTAATAATTGGGAAAAGGAGAATAAACTCAAAGAGTAAGCCACATAAAAACAGAATTCAGGATCTTATTTCCCTTTAAAATCCCACATTATGTAAACTGACTCACTGCACAAGCCATAAGCACATGATTGTTTATGCCATTTGATGATCCCTAATCAATAACAAAAGTATAAACAGCAAAATAACAATTAAAATAACAGTACCCAGTACCCAATAGAATTTCATGATTCTTCTTAATAACCTACCCTTACAGAAATTCAACTAGATGGTTTTAACGAACTATCAACAAAAATGACACCTTTAAGTTAAGAACAACTTTAAGGTGTTACCTCTATATTTGAATCTGCTTTGGTGTCTATATATAAATAGGGCTGTTTTTTGGCTTCTTTTTATAGTTTTGTTTTGGTTTTTATGGTTGAGAGTTGGTGAGCAAACACTGCTCTCGCTTCTAAATTATGGCTCTATGGCAGTAACATAAACAGTTGAGCTACATCAAATTTATATCACAATGAAGCCAATGTCCATATGGTGTTGGATGAGATGAAAATCCAACAAAAAAGTTGATTTTATTTGGAATGATCCAGCAATTTAAACCCAAACTTAAACATGGCAGTATTACTTTTTTAGTTTATTTTGATAAATGATTTAATTTAAATCTCTAGAAACACAAATTCATGAAACCGATTCACAAGCAACAACCAATAACAGATCACAGCTTTTAAGATAAATGAAATTTATATACAAAAATCAAATGGCTAACAGTAAGTCGTCAGAGCAAAAGTATCGACGATGAAGATGCATCTGCATAATAGAATCGTACCGTCGAGAAGATCGGAGCGACGATCAAGATTCCGTCAAGTAGTAAGATGGCTCCCGAGCTGCGATTCGCCGATTCCTTGGACCGGCGATTCGACTATTCCAGATTTCAGATGGCTGCTTTGCGATTCGCCGATTTTAGATCTGGCCAATAGCCCAACTTTATTGGATTGGCAATTGGGGTAAATACATAACAAGATTATATTTATTAAATTTATTTTAATTTGATATTCGGATAAACGGTAACGGACTATTGAAACGAATGTCCATGTGGATCGAATTTTGAACGGATCGGATTCATAAATACCAAATCTGCATCCGTTTAATAATCAGTTATCCCGGATCAGATGCGGATAATATCCGTTTAAAACGAATACAATTTTTTTCTTTTTAAACGGATAGGGATGCAGACGGTAATCGGATTTTCGACTATCTATTTAGAGGCTTAGGGATCATTATCAAATTCTAAGGTCATGTATAAAGGAGTCAATTTCAACCAATGGAAAATATGGGGCTCAAATGGCAAGTTTCTTAGACTGTGATTTGATTCCTATTTGGGTGCTTCTGAATTCAAATTTGATAGTTTGATGGATGATTTAAAAATGATGAAGCATTTGCATTCAAATTTGATGGATTCTCACTCAATTCATTCTCTTTAAATCTTGGTGCCTTTTAAAATTCCTTTGCATCCTATATTAAAATTTAAATAATTAAAAACATTATAAACTTAAAAAATAACCTAATTATTTTAACATATCCACAAATCACAATCTTACAACAAAAATAAACAAATTCAATTCTCTATTCACAATGAAAAATTCATAAGAATAAATTAAAATAATCACAATCCACAAATAAAAAAAGAAATATCTACTCTAGATTCAATTATGTCAAGAAAAAAAATCTGACAAAGTGACAATAGAAGATGAAGATCTGATTGAGTAATTGGGGGTGTCAACGTTGCGTCGCCGAATCCAGGCGTGTAGGCGGCAGAGCTCCGACCATCCGAAGTCGGCGGCTGGGGCAAAATTGCATATTGGGTTGAGAGTTTGGGGAAAAATTGGCGCTTGGGGCTGAGAATTGGGGACGTTGACAAAGGTAAAAGAGTAATGCTAGAATCACAAACAAACATTTCACAAAATTAAGAAACTTACGTTTTTAATATTTCACTAGAAATAAGATGCACTCAAATAATAAAAGATATTTTAATTTAAAATCTTCAAAAAAATTTGTAAAGTTTGTGAATTATTTTTTTGTGACTAGCATTTTCGAAGGTAAAATTGCAACTCTAGATTCTGGAACTTGGTCGCCGTTTTTCAATTTAAAACAAAAAAAGGAGAAACACTGCCGTTTAAACTTGTCCTCCTTTTAAAAAAAAGTTTACCTGCAGCAGGAATCGAACCTAAAAACACTGCTTCAACAAGCCTAAACACTGAGTTCTCCACTCCTTCAGTTCGTCCGACAATGAACTCCTCCCACACCACATTGATTTTCGACTGGCTATAGTATTTTTAAACTCTACATAGATTTTACAAATCTTTAAAACTCTACATGGATTCTACAAAAAAATCTACCAAACTCTACATGGATTCTACAGATTTTTCAAATCCACTCACTTTTTGAAATCTAAAAAAATCTAATAAAATCCTAATTGAATACGCCCCCCTAAATATAAGTTGGGTAGGATTAGGAGTAGGAATTTCATTATTATTATTAAATTATATTATATTATATTATAAATTTCTTTATATTTACGTATTTAACTATAACATCTATATTGCGCATACCTTTTTATACGTAAGTCCGAACTTAACACACACTACGTCGTTGAACTCATCTCGTCGAGATCTTCAATTGGAGTGTAAATTGACGTTAAAAAATTATTAAATTATCATATTTTAATATTTTCGTTTTGACGTTTATTTAATTTAAACAAAAATTAGAATTATGATTTATTAAAAATTCGTTATAAAACTCTAGGGTATATTTCGGGGCGATACAGATCCCGAGGTCGTAATCATCACGGGCGACGAGATCCCAGAGGCGATCCCCCTCGGCCGCGTCCCTAGCCCCACTGCCGGGCAACCCCCCTCACTAGGGAAAAAGGTCACTTCCCTTTTCTTTTCTTATATGTCATTTACCCGGTTTGAGTCTTCTCCCTTTTTACTAACCGTGTTGTTTGGTTTTTTTTTGCACTGGTGAAGTTCCACTCAAAGTTCCCTATTGTAATACCCCGTATCAAGTTGGGAAAGAAGGGAAGAGCTCAAAAGAATTGAAATTTAAATAAAGAAGAGTGACATATTTTTTAAGGAACGTTTTTTTTCATACTTAAATTTCAAACTTTTTTTTTTCATTTTTTTTAAATTTTATTTTGTAGTAAAAAGTTAAAAAAAAATTCTAAACCAATTTTCAGGACGTTACACCTATCCCCACGGTCGTGGGGACCTCGGCTGGGCAAACTCAACCTGCCGCTGAGCAGTCAGCCCAGTCTCATCAGGGGACTTATGTGCCAATCCACTCCGGGGATCTCTTTGCCAATTAGGAGACCTTGGAGTTCGAGGGGATCCTCTTTGAGGGGGGCCATGCCTCTGAGGCCGGTCCGGGCTCCAAGAAACCGGAGGTGGCCGGTCAGGAGGTTTCTATAGAGGAGGGTTTGTAGAGGAAGAGGCGAAGAACAAAAGAAGCCAGTCCTTCTTCCCTGTCCTCCGACGCCGGTAAGGGCAAGGGCCAGCCCCAGGACATGGCTGAGATGTCCCGGTCCAACGTTAAGTTGTTCGACCCCTTTTGCACTGACCTGAGTGAGGTAAGCATCAATTCCCTCTTTAATTTCTTCCCATTTTTTTCTCGAACTTATCTGAAAATTTATCTTCTCTTTAAAGCAGGTCGGCCAGATTGGGAAGAAGTGGGCAACCTGGCTCGTCAAGTCCCAGACGGACGAGACACTCCGGATGGAGGCCATGATGGTCACCGCCCAGAAAGATGTAGAGGCAGCTCGGCTGGCGGCTGAAAAGATGAAGGAGAAGCTAGTTGAACAAGCTGAAGCCTACTAGGGTCTCTTCACCAAGCACGAGGGCTTGCTCAAATCCGCCTAGTGGTCAGACGAGCAGGCTCAGCTAGAAGATCGTCGAGTTAGAGGAGAAGGCTGAGCGGACGGCCAGCTGGAAGAGGAGGTTGCCCGGCTAAGGGCTGAGCTGGAGAAGGAGCGCTCTGACCAAGCTGTTCACGTCACTGCTTCGGCTACGCAAGAACCAGAGAAGTTTGCTGCTCAGGCACATCCTGACCGGGAGATCGGCATCCACTTTTTCTAAGGCCTTTACAAACAAGAAGTGTCCTAGAAACTTATTGATGACATTTGGACCTTCGGGTTTGAGACCGGTAAGTACCAGGAGTGCCGCGGGCTGTACGAGATCCTGAGCAGCCAGGTGCAGGATTTTGATCCCAAGGTCATCTCTCTCCCTGAGCTCCATGACAAAGAGCACGTCCTCCCCTTCGAGGGGATCTAGCTTGTAAACATTTTTTGTAAAACTTTGTAGCTCTTGTCGGGCTATAATGCTTTGTAGAACTTCTTATGCATCTGAATGAAATTTTATTTTTCCAAGTTTTATGTTGAGTTCATTTTTATTTTTCCAACTTCATGAATGTCGCCGAGTACTTATTCCCTTTTTGTACTTTTTTCCTTTATTTTTGACCCGATCGTTAGTTAAGAGAGTTTGAAAAAGAAAAGTGTTTCGCCAGAGAAAAGATGGACCCAACCAATCTTTTTCTAGGTGGTTTGGACCCGAGTGGGGATGTCTTACCATCTTTTCTCGAAAAGTGTGGTGTCCCACCCGAGAATAGATGGACTTGGCCCGACTGATCCATTTGGCTTTTTACCCGAGTAGAAAATAAGCCATGTTATTTTTCTTGTTTAACTTGACCACGCCGGGATTCTCACCTTTTTTGGTCGCGCCATTCGAGACCGTGTTGATATGGTTTATCAGTTTGACCAAGCCGGCTTGTTCTTTTTTTAAATGCTCAATTCAATTGAACACTGACCGGGCGGATAGGTCTGCAACCTTTCGCGACCGGTCTTGCGAGTAGTTTTTTTTAGAAAAAGATCAACTTTTATTTCATGACATGGTACATATTACAATGCCCTTTATCTATAAAATTTTCGTAAATGGTGGGAGTTCTAATGCTGGTCGACGCGCCCATTGGCTTGACGCGGCAGTGGCTTTTTTTGTCAATCAAGAGCTTAGCCGTTGTCGGCAGTGGCTTGACGCGACGGAATGAGGGATGTCTAGAGCCGGTAATGGGAGTTTGCTCGCTAGCAAAGAGTTTGCTCATCCATTGGGAGAGGCAAGCATAGGAGGCCCAATCCTTGTGCCCCTTCGCATGTTTGAAGGTGAACAAGAAATGGTCTAGATTTGGGGTCAGTCCAGCTTCCTGACACTTGATCAAGTAACCCACTGTGTAGCAGTGGGAATTAGGGACTTGTTGGCAGAGGAGTAGGTCCACCTCATTCAAGAACTTCACAAGCAAAGGGTGTAATGGGAATCGCAGACCCCTCTTCAAGGAAGTGAGGTGTACAGTGAAGAACCCCTTCGGGTGCCAAGGCAGTCTCAGTCATACTAGGTCGCCGGACCTCAATGGGGGCCCAACCATGTTAGTGACGTCGGCGAAGCCCTGATCTAAGATTTGACAATGGCATAGGGCCATGATGTTCTCCTAAAGTTCAACCCTAGGGCCCAATAGCTTCGACTTTGGGGGGAGAACTGTTTTCTTAATCGCCGTCATCCCCTACTAGGTGCAGCCGCTGGTTACGGCCGTGGGGGACTAAAGGGACCCTGAGCCTGTCCAGAGTTAACCGGCTGTTCTATCGGAGTGGGGCTAGAAGACGAGGGCAAGGAATCGGAATCCAAAGAGTACATGTTAGTGAAGGAGGAACTGACCTAGAAACAAAGAAAATGGGATGGGGCGCAATCGCAGTTAGGCTGAAGAACGATGAGGAAAGAGGCATCCAACGACGATTTAATCATGTTTGAAAAAAAAGATGAGAAGTCAGATGATGATTGTTTTTTGGTAATCGAGCTAACTTCCGC